GGCGGGGAAGTGGGAGGGGCCCATTGCCCCACCTGCCCCAGAGATAAAGTCATCAAGAGCCCAGTTTAGGTCTGGGAGGGGCCTTTTGCTGACTTAGAAAGCTACTTACAAGAGAGGCCAGGAGAAGTCCTTCACACTCTTTCTGTCCCATCCTAGGATAAACGGATTCTGGAAGAGTAAACACTGATACAGCCACCAGAACTTTCAGGCACACAATTGAACATTAAGCCAGAGTCCTTTTCAGAGAAGGGAATATTCGCTTCAATTATGTTGAGTATGAGAATCTAACTAGAACTAGGAATCAATTTGAGACTGATACACTTAAGTAACTGATATTGACAGAAGTTGACATCCAAAGGTAGAGGCTGATGATAAAACTCAGACTTTAGACTAGTTTCTAAAAATGGTAAGAATGCAAAGACGCAAGAATGTTATTGACTCTGCTCACAGAGGTGAGTTTATCCTTGGCTCATTGAATCTACTAGCTTTATAATATGACAAAGTCTTCAATGCTGCTGCAGGAAATACTGGAAAGTCAAATCTTGCCTAGTGATGGTTTTGTCTCTAATTGGATTTGTACTGATGAGAACAGAGTAAACTCTTCACCATCCAAAGGCATGAAAAGATGGAATATGAGTAGGTAATGCCATATGAATTTGAATATCCTCTGAGCTACAAATGACCCCCACCCTCTAGTCTGGCCATTAACACTCTGAAGGTCTTTCCCCAGTATCCAAAAGGAAGGACTCCACCCCCCTAACAAATATGCACACCCACAAAGTAAGGACAACATAGGCCAAAATTAGGCCCATCACAGAAAGGCTCAGAAACTCTTCTTGGTGGAACCACAGCCAAGAAGCCCATCACAGCCACCATCTCCTCCTCCTCAAATGTCAAGTCCTCCTCCACTCTCATGTTCTTCTTTTCTTTCTTGAATGCTTTAGCCTTTTCTTCCTGAGTTTCTTCATCCTCTGCTCAAAATCATAATCCTTCAGCTGGTTTAGGTCTTATTGACCGACCTCAAAGCCTTTCTTCACCTGATCTAGGATAGAACATCCCACATGCATAGGCATGCCCAGGTTCTGTTGATTCTTTCCATTAATATGATCCAGGAAGTTGATGGAGTCTCTCACACAGTCACAGACATTGCAGTAATATCCTCCCATCTCAGATGGTGGGGTTGTCTTGGTCATGACATTTGGAATCCAATCTTGGGAAGACGAGCCCACTTTATAGTCCCTGTGATACCGAAACTCCCTCTTGACTGGCTGCTCTGGTTTTCCATCCTTTCCACTCTCTCCTGTGAGTCTTAGTTTCTTGTATTCCTCTTTGTCCCACTTTCAAAGAAAGTACACATTTTTTAATATAGAAAAATGCTTTATTTAAAAATAGGATCTTTTCAAGAACAGAAAAATTTTATAGACAGGTAATTTAGCTTAGAAACAGTCAAACACACAAAAAATCCAGACTTAGAAATTATGATTTGTAATATATACAATACTGGTGCTGAGCAACAGTTTAAATGTAGAATGCTTTTAATCCCATCACATTT